ACAGGCAGAGGCAGGGGTTGTAGCCGGGGACAGGCAGCAGTGGGGGTTGTAGCCCAGAATCTCTTACTCTCAGGCTCCGCCTGTTCATCTCCCGGCTCCTCCTGAAAGCTCTGCAGTAGCCCTTCGGCCCGCGCACACCCCTCCGAGCCCGGGGCTGCCTGGCGCAGGTAGCCGTGGAGCTGGCGCAGGCTGGGGTGCTGGGGGGGCTCCCGGAAATCCTGGGGGTGATGACGCAGCCAGAGCTCCAGCACCTGCAGCACAGCCCTGGGGGAAAGGTGGGGGCAGGGGGGGGTCAGTCCTGACAAGAGGGGGCAGATCAGGCTCTGAGGCCCCTCCCCTCTGGGTCTGGGGCCATCCCTGTAACCGCAGGAGCTGGTCTGAGATCCCCCAACCCACAGCAGCCCCCTTCCCTGGCCTGGCTGGGTGAGGGCCGCTAGCACGGGGACGGGACTGCAGGGTTCTCGCACCCCCACTTGCCCAGATACCAGGCCCCAGGGCTCCCCTGTTGGGGGTGGGGGGAGCCCAACACCCCCCGGCTCACCTGTCAGGGGTAGGGGGAGCCCAGGGTTCACCTGTCGGGGGTGGGGGGGAGCCCAACACCCCCCGGCTCACCTGTCAGGGGTAGGGGGAGCCCAGGGTTCACCTGTCGGGGGTGGGGGGAGCCCAACACCCCCCGGCTCACCTGTCGGGGCCCAGCGGCAGCAGCAGCTCCAGCACGCGGCCGGGGGTGGCGAAGGCGCGGTAGGTGGCCAGGAAGCTGGGGCGGTAGCCAGGGTCGCTCTCTGCACTGGCGGAGACCAGGCCTCTCACCAGCTGGGGCAAGGTCCCGGCGCGCAGCCGGCGCAGTTTGCAGGTGCGGTACAGCACGAAGGGGCAGGGGGGGTCAACTCCAGCCTGCGGGGGGGGGGGGAGAGATGAAGTGGACAGAGAGAGGGATGGACAGGAGGTCGGATGGATGGAGTGTGAGAAATAGATTGGATGGAGGGATAGAGGGGGAGGAGGGAGTGA